GCTGCCCCGGAGCCCTGCGGGCAGGGGGCTTCCCAGCGGGGTCACCGCTGACGGCAGGACGGGACCCTTAAGGATGTAGTCTTTTTCGTCAGCCTGGCGCTCCGTGAGCACGGTTTGCTCCCCTCACCTGAGAGGTTACTGAGTTTGTGAAGAGGTTTGTTGTGGGGAGTTCTGATTAGGTGCGAAAAATTAAGTGGTGAGATCTGGCTGCTGATCCAACAGCACGGAGGAGCAACCTCCGTCCCAGAACATCGGGTCTGCCCGCGTTCTACCCGCGGATTTCAGTCAGCAGAGCTCATCCGACCGGTGAGCTGCCTGCTGATGCCTCATCATTCTGAATTGCTTTGAGTTACACAGAAAAAAAAGCTGCCTGTAAATATAGAGATAGCTTTGTGTATTTTTAGAAAACTGGTATAAAAAGAAGTTGACAGAGACTTGTATAGACAGTACGATTAATTCAGAATAAAATTATATTTCGTGTACTTTGTTTACTGATTGTACCATACCAAACGATTGGTGAGAACATCTGATACTTTCACATTCAGCTACTCAAAGTTTAAGAATATAAAAGGTATGGTTATTTATGGACACTTAATTCAGCTTCCTTGTATTACAGCAGAGACTTGGCAAATTGATCATCTAGGTCTTTGCCTTTTCTTTGACACCCTGAACAGAGCTGTGCTCTAAACAGATCTCAGAGTTTACAGTTTTTTTACATTTGGGTAAACTTTGAAAAGGACAACAAAAGGAGTGGTCTTAGGTGGGTCCTGTAGTAAATTTCACATCCTTTTCAAAATTGATGATTTTATTTGGTGGTTTTTTCCATAGCTTAAAAGAATGCATGTTTTGTTTCTATATGTCATCTTAGAAACAACTAAATTCTCCAAAGATTTAAATATGACTGACTCTCAAAATGGATAAATTTCCTGACAGATAGTGAAAATGAAAGTTTTTATTCAACTGCAAATGTCTAATATGGATCTCTCTGTATTGTTCTGTGCTTCCACTGTTATTTTGAAGTACTGCTTTACATTGCATCGACATTGCTAAGACCAAGATTGTTTTTAAACGAGGCAATTTCTAGATCTTTTCAGGGATTGAAAGTTGGTTTCTAGGTTTGCAAATATATTTTTTTTTTGTGGTAACAGTAAAATGTACTTTTCTCAATGGTAGTAGTTTCTAAGAACTGTAACAATTTTCTTTCTAGTGTACTGAAGCATGTTTTTACCAAGATCTGTTAAAGTCAAGAGGACTGTTGATGACGACAAAGATTGTACAGCTAAGAAAAAGAAACTGTCTTCTGGAGAATCTTTGCTGGAAGAGACCACAGAGTTCCAAGACTGTAAGTTGGTTAGAACAGAAACTTGTGCTTCAAGATGCAATTTGAATGAAGTTGTACAAGAATGCACAGAACCCGTAGCTGGAGATCTTGGTGTTCCAAATACAACTTTGGGAAAGGACAACCAAAATAGTGATGAAGATAGCTCTTTGGAAGAACCCATAAAATCCTTCAGCAAATCCCAGCGTTGGCCAGAACCTGGAGAACCTGTATGTGTTGTGTGTGGTCGCTATGGAGAGTACATCTGCGATAAAACAGATGAAGATGTTTGTAGCTTGGAATGTAAAGCCAAACACCTTCTACAATCTCAAGAAAAGGAAAAAAAGCTAAAATCGGATCAACTCACAAAAGAAGAAAATCGAGCAGATACTCACCTATTTAACACACCTTATTTCTACAAAGATCATTCCTTTATTTTAGGTTTGCGAGATGATCAGATTGAGAACCTTAAACTGCAGCTAGGTATTGCTGTCCAGGGCCAGCAAGTTCCAAGACCTATTGTAGAGTTTGAGCACTGTGGTTTTCCTGAAACTTTAAACCATAATTTAAAAAATTCTGGCTATGAAGTCCCAACTCCCATCCAAATGCAAATGATCCCTATTGGACTGTTAGGGAGGGATATTGTGGCTAGCGCAGACACAGGCTCTGGAAAAACAGCAGCCTTCCTACTCCCTGTTATTATGAAGGTTTTGAAAGAGGTAATGAAACTTTGTGTGTTTAAAGAAAATGGTTTGCAACTTTGTGTCTTGGATTCCCAATGTAACTGAGAATGTAATTGCAATGTGTTTTATTGACATTCAATGATTTATTATACTTTTGATGCAGCATTGGGAGGTGCTGATTATTCTTAATGACTTTGAATGTTTTTTCACTTTGGTCAGGAGATAAAGCAACTCTATTAATATTATCTAGTATACAGATTCTCCTTGGTACAAAAAGTAACTAAATTCTGTAGTAAACTTCCTAAATGACTTAAGAGAAAATTCCAGGCACTCTGCAAGTAGTTGTTCCTGTATCTTAACATATTAGATGGCTGAAAGAGCTTTTTTGGCATTGGCATAATTTCCCAGAGTAGTTTCTGTTGGAATACGTTCAGCTGACTATCAGATAATTATAGGAATTTGGGGTTATAGAACTTTTGAAATCCTGTAGTTAAACAGTCTCCCCTTTGAGAGTGTGGGAAAAAGCAATTAAGAAAACTTTTGCTTTGTGAGGACATGAATGTATGATGAGAAGTAATGGCAAATAGTATTCTGGACCTTGTGTGTGGTTCAGTATTGCTTTTTCCTCCAGTGGTTTTATTCAAAAAGAGATGCATAAGAATACATTTGAAAATTCTGGACCTGATTCTGGTTGATGTTTTGGACTGTTTAGATGCCTTTATGTATATACACACAATATATACACATACACACACACACATATATATACGCACACACAGATGTTTGTGTATATATATACACATATGCATAATTTTTTTCAAATTAATAATTTAAAAATTATTTATGTAACTTTTAATCTTTAAAGCACTATGTCATTAGTTTTTAGAATGGGAGCATTTAAGAACAAGAGTCTGATCATCGTTAAAGTCTGCAGGACAGTTATGTGCTTATAATAACATGAAAAAATTGGAGCCTCAATGAGTTTCTCTACATCATCTTTCTCATTCTTCATCTTCAGGGTACTTTACAAGTTAAATGTGTTTGTCAAGAAATAATTTTATTTTGTTGTTAAAATAATTTTCATTTTTAACATGAGAGATGAGGTGTTAAGAGCACAAGGGTAATCAGGTTATGAGATACTTGACAGTTCCTGGCTTCTTCACATCTAGATAGATACCTTTTTTTGTGGTGGTAAGTTGTTCAGTTAAACACTTTGCCCAGTTGAAAACAACTCATAAAGCTGTTCTTGACACAAGTATTTAACTATGTAGTTCCCTGATGATGCAGTGGGAAAGGAACAACCTCCTACTCTTGGTCAATTGTAAATATTCCAATTGAAGACCAGAAAGAAACACATACCATCCAGAAAACTGTTAAATGAATTTCTGATTGTAGTATCAGTATATGAGAGAGCTTTGTTTATTTGCTGAAAAAGTGATCAGTGTTATTGAAATAATGCACCTTGGAGCTAGACCATTATTCTTTCTTGTATTCCCCACCCCCCATTTTACCTTATGTTCTTTTTACTTTGTTAGTATGTGTTAACTGCAGTTAGTTAACTATATTAATCTGAGAGGAATTACTACCTGTAATTTTGTATTTTCTGGGTTGCAGAAATATCAGTGAGGTGATAATTCAGTTGAAGATCCTTATATAAGGAACAACAACAACAAAAAATCAAGTCTGTACCACTTTAATGATTCATCTCTACTCTGGCTGACTAATAGTGGGTCAGAGGGGTTATTGATTTTGTTTTTAAATTTCAGAGACATATTATAGAATGGTTTGGGTTGGAAGGGACCTTAAAGATCATCTGGTCCAACTCCCCTGCTATGGGCAGGGACACCCTCCACTAGACCACGTTGCCCAAAGCCCCATCCAACCTGGCCTTGAACACTTCCAGGGATGGGGCCTCCACAGCTTCTCTGGGCAACCTGTGCCAGTGTCTCACCACCCTCACAGTGAAGAATTTATTCCTAATATCTAATATAACTCTATCCTCCTTCATCTTAAAATGAAATTCTGTTTTTGCTGTATAAAGTTCCTATCACTGCTTATCTTCTCTGGCTAGTGCTTAATGTTTTTACTTAGTGGTGTGCAAGATAGTAAAGGGAAATAGTCTGTTCCAGTAATACCAACACTTCTAAAACCCTTTTTAATGATTTCTAGATTCAGCTAGCATCCTGTGTTTTGAGTTCATGTGGAATTTATTCTGAATTTCTGTTACAGATTCAGTGCAATAACTAAAATAGAAAAAAACAATCTTTACAAATGACTGCTAGCTTTTTGGGCCTTTTTTTTTGTGTCAGGAAACTATTCCAACAGTGTACTTATACATGCATTAATTATTTGTTTTCAAAAGTTGAGTAACTGAGGGATACGCTTCCTTGGCCTGCGTTGTTAAAGGTATAATCCTGGTCTTTCAGATAGAAAGGGTATTAGCAGTCTAATGGTATGTATCCACAGTAGCTGCGCTATATACTTTATATTTTAGTATTGGGAGATTTAATCTTGAAAGCTTTTTATCTAAATAATATGTAACAAAATTCGATATTCAGCAGATTTCCTCCCCCTCTTTCTAGACAGAAACTCCATCTGCCCTTATTTTGGCACCAACAAGGGAGTTAGCAATTCAGATAGAGAGACAAGCTAAAGAACTGATGGCTGGTTTACCAAACATGAGAACAGTTCTTCTGGTAGGAGGTTTACCACTGCCACCACAGCTTCACCGTCTCAAGCAAAGTGTTAAGGTAAGGACTATAGCGTGGAAAGATCCTGTGGAGAGTTATGTTTTTGTGACATTCACAGAAAAGAAAAATGTTACTGTTGACATACATGGACACAAAAAGACGTGCTTTCCTAAGTCTAAACTACTAAAATAATTGTTAGCTCTTGAAAATTTTACAGTAATATTTCTTTTTTAACATTTTGATTTTTGATTAAATATATAATAGCTTTTTTTGTTTTTGAAAACGTGTCGTGTAATATTGCTGCTTTCAAAGACTGAAATATGCCATTTTATTAGACAAGGAGTTGTAATTTACAGCAAAAATAGTTCATTTTTAATGCAGATTACATTGCTTATATTTAGACACTTCCATTAGAGTTCTAAAAGGTCCATTTCCTTTTGAGGCTTCATAATTTATGAAGTTATCTGTAAAAGTTTTAAGATTTTCTTGACCGTTAAGTAATTTCACTGATGAGTGCCCTTCTCGGCTATGTGCTTTACAGTTTTTCTAGGATAGTCATCTGTCTTTCAAGGAATTTCTAACTCCTGTTGTTTTCCCTGCCTTTTGTTAGGTTATAATAGCAACACCTGGAAGACTTCTTGAGATTTTAAAGCAAAGTTCTGTTCAACTGCATGGCGTAAAAATTGTAGTGGTGGATGAAGTAAGTTTTTAGTTACTGGGGCTGTATTGCCTATACAGAGGTCCTTGACGAGCCAGTGTGGGTGTCTAGTTGAACTGATTAAACATACAGAGTGTTCATTATAAAGATAAAATTTATTTCTTGAGAGAAAAATTAATTTTTTAACACCATTTGAAATGTGTTTGAACAATGCATGTTCTTTTGGCTATAGAAGACTTCGATACCTGTCAGGATAATGCTGCTAGACCAGTGTGAACCATTTGGTTTTAATTTTCTCAGTTAGCTTTTCTTCTGACTGAAAATACTCCTGAATTTGGATTATTACATACATATTATGGTTCTTCTGTTGATTCAAGTTCAGGATTCTGCTGCTATGAAAAAATCTGATACAAATCTAATACTTTTCACTTAGGTGGATACCATGTTAAAAATGGGTTTCCAGCAGCAAGTGTTGGACATTTTGGAAGACATCTCTCATGATCATCAAACCATACTGGTGTCAGCCACGATTCCAGTAGGCATTGAACACTTAGCAAATCAGCTTCTGCACAATTTTGTAAGAATAACAATTGGAGAAAAGAATCTGCCATGTTCCAATGTTCGCCAAATTATTTTGTGGGTAGAAGAACCATCTAAAAAGAAAAAGCTGTTTGAGATACTAAATGTGAGTGTAGTATTTTTCTCATAAGAACAACTTACACAATTCTTCATGTCTTTACACATCTCTGTCAAGTTCTCATCTTTAATTCTAATCTGTATGTAGTGAAGAGGTGGAGTGAGGTTAAGCATACAACTGCACTAACTAGTTCAGTAGTTCTGCAATGTAGGAGCTTTAATGGCAATTTCAGGGATTATTCCACCCCCATCACTCACAGCTCCTTCTGTGCAGCAGCAAACTAGATTGGGATCTAGCAGCAAACTTGCTGGGATCTAAGTTAAAAATTACAATCTTGATAATTTTTTTTGTGATTCGCAGTATGGCATCCCAAAGGTTTGTACTGATTATCTGTGAGTGGTACAGGAACAAGACTTTCTTAAACTGTCATAGCTGCTTTACAGCGTGGGAGTGGTTTGTCATTTGAAAAGTCATTGAAGAAACCAGTGAGAAAGTTAATTTAGTTCTTTCTTGAATTTTCTTTATATGAATAATAATATATGTCTTTTATGAGTACTTGGGGGGGGGGGGGGGGTTTTGGTGTTTTCTGCGGGGTTGGGGGGGGGGGGGGGAATTTTGGAGTCTTGTCTGAGGTTATCCAAAAAGTAAATAGGAACCTAACTGAACCTCAGAACTTAAAGAAATTCAGAATTATTATGTAACATTTAAAGAAACATAAAAGAAAGCTTCTGACTTCTAAAAAAAAGCATGTATTGATATCATAGAATCATAGAATGGTTTGGGTCGGAAGGGACCTCAAGGATCATCTAGTTCCAATCCCCCTGCCATGGGTAGGGACACTTTCCACTAGACGAGGTTGCCCAGTGAAAGATAAAAACTCGGGTTCTCAGTCCACAAATCATTATATGTTTATCACGTACAGATTAGTATCATTTCATGGCTGGTATCTTGTTCTTTCTTATCTAGAGTGTAAGAACATTTATTCATCTGCAAATGTTTTTAATATTAGAGATAATGAGCAGAAGAAACTGAATCCAAGTTGCTGATGATGAGCAGCAAACTGTTGTAATACCTTCTTACATAAACTGTTTAATTTTACAGGATAAGAAGCTCTTCAAACCTCCAGTGTTGGTGTTTGTGGACTGTAAGCTAGGAGCAGATCTGTTGAGTGATGCTGTTCATAAGATTACAGGATTGCAATGTACAGCTATGCATTCTGAAAAGTCTCAGGTGGAAAGAACAGACATATTACAGGTTTGTGCCTCTGAAAGTTACGGGGGTTTTGATGGATTTAAAATGGACAATTTTTTTGAAGGTGGCTTAATTTGGATGAATTAAGTCATAATTTACTGCTTTTCTGCAGTAAAACCTGGGAGTATTGCTGAGGGAGAGGAGAGACAGATGGGACCAAACAAAACTGTGGATAATACTGCCATTGTAAATGCAGATAACCTAGGAAATAGTCTCCAGTATTTATTTGCCTTGAAATGGGAATTTAAATATGCATTTAACATTAATTTATGATTTTTTTTATTAAAATGGTGATTTTGATCTCTCTTTAATTAACTCTGTGAATTATACTGCTATTTAAGTCAAGAATACGGAGGGGCCATTCTCTCATCTGCAATGTAATAATCCCACTGGGTGTGTTCTTAAACTGTATAACTAAATCTAGCCAATGCTTGAAGATGTTCAAAATATAAATAAGGAAAAAAGAATTAACTTTTGCTTATTCCTCCCTTGCCAGGGATTACTTCAAGAGAAGTATGAAGTTATAGTAAGTACTGGAGTCCTTGGACGCGGGCTTGACCTTGTCAATGTCAAACTGGTAGTAAATTTTGATATGCCTTCAAGTATGGATGAATATGTACATCAGGTAAATAAATTGCTAAAGCATTATTTGAAAAGTATACTGAAATATGACATCCACCTATGGAAATTTAAATTTAAATGTAAACATAAAATTATTTTCCTCTTCAGAATATCATTTTTATATAAAAGAAAGGTGCTGAGTATCTGTTCCGTAAGTCTCTTAGGTAAATTACTAAAATCTAGAACACTGTTCTTGTATCTCCTATATAAGTTACTAAAATCTGGAAGAGTGTTCTTACATCAATTATGTTTGCAGTATTATTCTGCTGTTTTGTAGTCTGTTGTATCATTTTGTGTCTCTAGAAAGCAAAGTTTACCATGTTTTTACTATCTGTGTGAAGGAAGGCCAAATACCCCTCTTTCTGCTGCAGCTCATCTGTAGTGTGGGATATGCACGTAATAAATCAGGAGACCAGTTGCGAACATTCTTTTCCTTCTCTCTTCCTACTCCAGTATCTTCCCTGATTTTTTTTTTCTGAGGATTTCTTGCTTTGAAAAAGACGGTGTGTGGCTTGTATGCGTGTGTGTATTTATGTATATGTGCACACACCCCAACCCCAGTTTGGCTAGCAGATCAAGAGAACTAATAATTACTCTCTTTATGGTACTTATGAAGCCACAGTACTCTACTACTGTGTCCAGTTTTGAGACCATCACTATAAGAAAAGCCAACAAACTGGAAAGTCCAGACAAAGTCACACATGACTGACACACATGACACATGAAGAGAGGCAGAGGGAACTGGGCTTGTTTGGGCTGGAGTAGAGATGTAATTGCTGTCTTCTGTTTGATAATGGGCGGTTACAGAGGAGATAGAGCCAGACTCTTGGAGATGCACAGTGAAAGGATGACAGCCAACAGTCGCAACTTGCTGCAAGGGGAATTCTGGCCTGATTAACAGGGAAAAATGTTTTTCGCAGTGAGAGTTGACAGGCAGTGGAACAGGCTGCCCAGAGAGGTGGTGGGACCTTTGTGCGTGGAGACACTCGGAACTCTGTGGGACAAGGCCCTGAGAAAACTGATCTAACTTTGAAGTCAGCCCTGTTCTGAATCAGTGGGAAGGATGTCTGGAAGTATCCAGTCTCATGAACTCCTAAAGTATTCTGTGTTACTAACTGCAGTACACCTCTCTGGGTTTTAATTATCTTTCTGCTAAAGTTTCAAGCAAGTACTAAATAAATAAAAATGCTCTTTCCTGGCATCAGAACTATAGCAATATTAACATAGTGCCTCTTCCTAAATAGACAGTCTTTTTAGGTGGTTCTCTAATTTGTTCAAGCACTTTGGGTAATACTGAAAAATAGTTTTAAGTTACTAGAACATTGAAAGTAAAGGGCTTTTTTTATGGACATGCTTATACATATCGTGCTTGATACAAGATATATGTATGTGGCATTGCTATAAACAACATTTTTTAAAAACATTTTGTTTGGACCCATAGACTATATCATGTATCTCAGCTTTAATATTGGACTTTTGGTATGTCCCATAAACCAGTGGTAATTTCAGATGTGTTTAAGCTAAAGCTTCAGATCTGTGCTCAGGAAGTTTATTAAAAGGTTGTGCTTAGAGGATGAGATAAAGAGATTTGGTTTTGTCACTTAGGTTAGTTGCTGGTTTATAACAGAAAATAAACTTTAAGGATATATGAAGGACTTCCATTTAATATTGATAACTTAAAATGAGTTTTTGCTTTTTCAGGTTGGAAGAGATGGAACTGCAATTACTTTCATCAATAACAACAGCAAGAAGCTCTTTTGGGATGTTGTGAAGAGAGTAAAACCAACAGGCACCATTCTTCCCCCACAGCTGCTTAATTCCCCGTATCTTCATGACCAAAAGAGAAGGGAACAACAGAGACTTAAACAATTACAGAATAGTCTTGTAACAGGAGATAATATTATGGACATTATTAGAAAACATGACAAAAATAGTTCTCAGAGGTAATAAAGATATATTTATAGTTATCTGATGGAATTATAATGAAAGTGATTAAAAATAAACATGAAATTATGATGCCTTGTATCTTGCCTTTTTTAGAAGTTTATATATTCTGTTTTTTAAGGAGTCTCATTTTTATCTCATCTTCATTTTGAAATACAGACTATTGTGGGTTTGAGTTACAGTAGTACCTAGTAAAAATAGTCTGTGACCCTTTTTCAAAACCAGTAGTCTTTGGTCTTGCTTGCAACAAACTATTTTGTTTCAATATTTCTGAATAATTTTTTCAGCCTTGTTGGGAAACACACTCTTCTGGTAATTTTTATGTCATTGTATTGAGGTAAGATCTTTGCTAAGGACATCCTCTTCCTCCCCCCCCAAAAAAAAAAAAATAAAAATTGGGGTCTGGTGTCTGAAAACAAGGCTCCATCTCTTCCTGTTAGTTTATATAAAAGCTTCCCCTGGGATTGAATCCTCAGTATGTTCTCTGGGGTTTTCTTGTGAACATATATGCAAGTTTTGTTTGTAAACAGTACTGAAAGTTTAGTTTCTCCTTCATTGCCTGTGGACTGGCTAAAAGTCCTGCTCAAGCGCTTTGCGATAGCAGAAATACTCAGTTATTGGTATAACTTCATTGTAGACAATAGGATAAACCACATAGGTTAAAGAAGAAATCTGTGTTCTTATTTCATGTAACATGGTAGTTAATGTCTAACTGATCATATTTACTTATTTACTGCTCATTTAAGCACAGCAGATGCTGTTTCTTTTTTTTTCAGGAAACAAGACCAAAACTGTATTAAGATAGTGTTGTATGACTTACCATCCAAAGTTCCTTTTTTTTTTTTTTTTTCCTTTTAGACTGAGGCTTGAGATACTTGTTTCATCAGACCTTTCAAGCTGCTGCATCATCCATTTTTGGCAGACTGAGATGTCCCAGGTAGTTAGATGTTAGCCTTATGTATTCTATGTCCACTCTTTGGCCAAAGGACAGCATTACAAGAGACTGACTTTGTTTGGTAGCTAACTCATTTTAAAAAGTTCAGTAGCTGAATATTTTTCCCCCCAACTAGAAACAGAGAGTAGGTCTTAACCTGCTGCAAGACAGATGGCATAAGCATGGTGCTGGTGCCAGGCATTCTTTAACAAGAACAGATTTATATAGTTCTCAATGACAAACCTCTATTATTTCTGATAATCTGAAATATTTCAGATTATTTCTTTTATTTGCACTGTTGTTAGTACTTTAATAATCTCACATAGGGGAAAAACTAGTTTTTAACACCTCCCCGTGCTTTTGTCTTTTGTCACCCTCTGCTGGATTTTTTTTCTTTAAACTTTTTCATATGAACTCGATTGTACAGTATTTATAAATGCCAAATCTTTTTCAAAAGATATATATCCTTTGGCAAGAGACCAATTTTTATTTCTTGTGGAGATTTCATGAAGTGGTACTTGATAATCTTTCTCATCCTGCAATCCTCAAACTCTTCAATAGTCCCCTTTTTTCTGAGGGTGGGGAGCTAAGCGCTGTGTTCTGGCTCCAACGCGGCGCCGGACGCTGCTGAGTGGCTCCGTTAACGGGCCGGCGGGTAGAGCCGGGCTGTGCCTGGCGTTTGAGGGGTCACCGGCTGCGTCGGGCTTCCGCCCATCGGCCGCAGGTTGTCGGCACCGGGACCTCCCTGGAGGGAAGGAAACGCTTCCGATTGGAAAGCCGCAGCTGCCC